TAGCTTTGAGACTAAAGAAGTCCAAATCACACGCTGTCACTTCCCTCCTCTCTCTGCTGCCATCCCGAGCTGTGCAAGAGGGTTAATTGATATGAAAATAACTCTGGGGGCTGGACAGCTTTGAAAAACATATAGTATTACACTCAATACCAGCAATTACAGCTTGGGGGATTCAATCACTCGAAATCTTGGGCTTTCTGCAAGCCTAAGACGTGGGGCTGTGGTGATGCAGGTCCTGGACAGCTTCTGGAGTGGCTGATGGCTGCAGGCACACACCAACAAGCAGATGCTGGCAGGCAGCAGCCAGGGCTGGGACGGAGAGCATCCCACTGAGATGTGGAACAAAGCCCCTCCCGGTGCCTAAAGGGGCTCCAAGAGAGCTGGAGAGGGACTCTGGCCAAGGGGGAATGGCTTCCCATTGCCAGAGGGCAGTGTTAGATGGGATATTGGGAAGAAATTCTCCCCTGTGGGTGAGGCCCTGGCACAGGTTGCCTGGAGAAGCTGTGGCTGCCCCAGGCCGTTATTAACGTGTTCAAAAGTCAGGCTGGATGGAGCTCCAAGCAATCTGGTCTATGGAAGGTGTCCCTGCCCATGACAGGGGCTTGGAACATGATTACCTTTAAAGTCCCTTCCAACCCAAAGCATTCTGTGCTTAACAGTGGCAGAAAGGGGAGGAAGGACAGATGCTGAACACATTTATCAGAGGACACTCCACTCCACTCTCTTCTCCTTTCCATAGAACAAACAGCCTGGAAGGGCTGAGCCCACTCCTTCACCCCCCCCAAGCTCATAGCCTGTGATCTAACCCTCCTTTCCTCCCTCCTCCTCCACAAGCAGCCCACTGTGTCCATCATTTTTCCTGCTTTGCTGGAAACAACCCCCCAGCTGTGCCGTGGGGATCAGCCAGCCCGCCAGGCCCAAGGGCACCCGGCACATTGATATGCTCCCTGGAGTTCCCCTCCAGAATGAACTCAGAAGGACATCATCATCCTGCCAGGCTCCCTCCACCCTCCGAGATCAATAACTAATGCTGAACTCCAGATTTTATCTGCACTTTGCAAGGGTAACAAAATAACACCACCCTCTCTCTTTTTTTTTTTTTTTTCCCTTTCCAATTACTGAATCCTTTCAAGATTGACCAGTAATTTTCAGCTCTATGAAATTTTAGGCAGTGAAGAAAGTGATGAAAGTGATCTGCCAGAATGCTGGGAGAACTTTTGTGTGCGGTTTTCAGAGAACTGCAGAAGTACAGTACAGGGTACAGAAGGAGAGGATCATCAGCACTTTCTTTCCAAGAAGAAATGGCATCTTTACTAAACTGACCCAGGGATACTTGTCTTCCAAGTGCTGGTTCTTTGCATTCCCACTCTCCCAGCTCAGTGGCCAAGCCAGGAGAACCCTTGGAAGGAGATATCCCAGTGGTTCCAAGCACTGCTTTGCCTACAATACTCTGAAAATTAACCACCCCTTCAGTTAAATACTCCAAGATTTTGCACCTGCCTTTAATATGGCTGAACAGACCGGTATGAAACACAATAGCTCTTTTATTCCTTGTTTTCTTATTTTCCTTCGAGAACATCCAGGAACAGACATAAAAAAGAGGCACAGCACTGGCCAGCCTGAAGGCATTTTCGAGATTACAGAATCACAGACTCGTCAAGGTTGGAAAAGACCATCCAGTCCATCCTAGAGCTGAAGTGCTCCACCCAAGGCATGGAATTTTATTTTGGGTAGGGTTTTCAAGCAAGGGTGAGCAGTTCTGAAAATCCCCGTTCCTCTGCCTGGTTCAGTCCCTGCATTTCCACCAAGCAAGGCTGGTCCTGCGCGTGCAGGCAAGTTACACTCCCCAAACACACAACAGGAGCAACACACACGTGCCAGAATTATGTCAACAAACCTTCTCAATTTGCTTGCAAGGAAATCACTCTCACCTTCTAGCAGTGAATTTTAATCCCTTCCCATGCCCGGGATGATTATTCCAGGCATGGACTAACAGCAGCGAACCACAGCGGATATTTTATCTGCCATTTCTCCTTCCCGTGGCTAATTTGAAGATACAGATTGCAACCCACAAGTGGTTTTAAGAATTGCCATTAACACTGTTGTGCACAGTACAGCATTTTAAAAGCGCTTCCAACACAATCAGAACGTCACAATTTGTAAAATCTGGGGTGATTTTATCGAAGATGGAGGCGGCAGAACTCGCTTCATCACAACAGCCCTGAGCCAGTTCATTAGCCTGATTAGCCGTAGCTACCTGTACAGAGCAGGAAAAAACACCACAAAAGGCTGGAGAAATTCAAGTGTGAAGATCAAGAGGACTCTTACTCTGCCTTTTACACTTGATTCTTCCTTCCCCCTGTACTTGGCAGTAAAGACTCCGAGCTCAGACCCTTCTGCCCCTCGGCACCATCCAGGCTTCACCCACTCAGAGGAATTCTGGCTAATCCCAGCAGATAAACAGCACTGTCCTTCAACCAGCAATGGGTAAGCCCTGGGATACAGCCTCCCAAACAGAGCTGAGATTCCTGGGTGCCAGAGAACTCCTTTCTTTGCCAGGAGTGGGGAGGGGGGCTCAAGGAAGCGGGACAGACCCAGGTGTGGAGTCAGTCTGGTGGAGCACAGTGGGGTGTGGGTCACATCACCTCCACCCAACAGCATTTTGGAGCCTGCTTTTGGTCCTTTGGGTTATTTAGTTCCCCCCCTCTTAGTTCTCACGCATCTCTCTCTTACACTAGGATACCAGCGTGGATCCAAATGTCATGGCTTTCATGTAGGAAAAACAGCCTATAAAAACAATTAACCAACAAAATCAGTTCACAGAATTTCTGGGGGGAAAAAAATATGATGTTGCCTCTCATTTTCAACACACAGTGGGGGAAAAAGCCCTTTGTGGAAAAACCAAAAGGTTTCATGGCAAGTAAGGTGCCCCCCACACCTGCAGCCCTCAGCTTCAGCAGTTACTGACCTCTCCTCCAGGTACGTCAGTGAAAAGGTGCTTTTGGAAGAGGAATCTGTCCTCTGGGGCTCATTACCCAGGTTCACAGCTGATCACAGGGTCCCTGGCACACCGCTCCAGCCTCCCCTCCGAGCACAGGAACGCTGAAGCAGGGCTGTCAGAGCAGAGCTCAGCACCAGCAGAGCACAGACACCAACATTCCCGGTGCCCTCCCGCCTGGGAAGTGCTTACGGCAGCAGAGCCACTGCCGGGGGACACTGCAGGGTCACCTTGAGCAGGGGGGAGAGACAAACATCCTGCTTACAGGAAGCACAGGAGGGACTCACACCCCACTGCTCTGCTTTAATGTCCCTGCAGGGTGTCCTGCTCACCCCAGCACTGGAGCCTGCTCAGGGGGTTCAAGGGAACTCCAGTGAGCCCGCTGGGCTGGAACAGGAACAGGCACAGCCAGGTGGGAACCAAACTGCAGCATTTGGGACATTTCAGCACACGGAGACTATGCCTGTCTGTCTCAGGCCAAACCTGCTGAGCGTGTCCCTGGCTGTGACCAGAGCCCACCAGATCAAAACTCCACATCAGACAGCTTTTCAATGCAACAAACAAGGTGCCAAGATCCTGATGGAGAAGGGCATTTACGGCCTGTTTAAGGGTGGGTTTGCACTGATGGGTGGAAAATTCCCTGGATATAAAAGGAAGTTGTCATGGGTTGAACTTTCCAAACTATATAGAAGTTTTGAACAGATCCCTTTTACACACAGATGGGCACTGGCTGTTCACACACCTTCCCTGGCTCGAAAGAGCTTATCTTCCCAAGCCTTTTGCTTGCTGTTGCTGCATTTTCCAGGGTATTACAATCCCTTTCTTCAGAGAGGGATCAGCGCCTGGGAGGGAGGGAATGCTATCCCAGAGCCTTGCCTGACTCACTCAGCCATCCACACACACTGAGTTTCTTGTTAAGTAAATCTCAGAGCAGTGAGGAGCTCAGACAGCGCCGGGAGGTCAGGCCTGCTGACTCTGTGCCGACGTGAAGGTGAGGCAGCTCCCTGGGCTGCCCCATCTCCCCCTCCCAGGGCTCCCACCCTGGCCTTCCCACCCTCTGGCAGCCTCCCCAGACCACTCGGAGCAGCCTCAGACAGCCAGCAGATCAGCCCAGAGCCCCCCAAAGAGGCCGGGGTGTGAGGGGCCAAGGGCAGAGCTGGCACTGCCATCAGCGCCGGGGGCAGGAGCCAAACACACCACACCAAAGAGGGGGAGCAACCTCCACCAGACAGGGGGGAACAGGGTCTTGGAGCCTGTCCCCAGAGCAGCTCCTGGTGCCGCTGTGAGAGCCCAGGCACGTTCCCTGCTCCCAGGGGGATGCAGTGCTGCCAGCGCTGGCTGCCGGGAGCTCGGCGGCTGCTGCAGCGGGAACGCCGACAGCTCCCCGAGAGACAGAGCAGAGCCATTTATTTCCACTGAAAGGAATGGCCATAACAGTGAAAATAACCCTCAGCTCGTTTTCACAGAGCTGTACAAGCGATGATGAAACCTCATCTCTCTCGTGAAATATGTGGAGGGAAATTCCTGGAGATCCTGCTTGTTCTGAGCTACACCACTGGAGGACAAGCACTCCTCACTCAGCTTCAGGACTCCAGCACGCCTGAGATCTCAGTGGAGGGGGTTAGCACCTTAATTTCCTGGTGTTTCAGCTTAACTGGCCTTATGCCCAGCTTAACTAATGCCAGCCATCTCAGTACAAACCCGCTGCTTCCCAGCAGCCTCAGCACAACCAGCTCCACGGGCTTTACTCTCTCCAGGGAGCCCAACAAAGGTCCTCCCAAAGAGAAATCATTAGACCGACCAGAAAAGTCATTTCTAACAAGAGAATCCACGTGCATGGGGCATTCCATGCCAACAGCCCTTCCCCTGCAGCCTCCAGGACAGAGGAATGTAGCACCATGGATTTAGCCCCCAAATCACCATGCTGACACTGGTTTTTGGCTGTGCTCCCCATGCAGAAGCTGCCACACACTGTGAGGTCTGAGCTCCAGTTCTCTCTTACCTCTATGCCTGTTGGTCGTCTTGTCAAACATTAGCATGGCGTCCTCCACCTGCAAGACAAAGAGGGGAGATTTGTGCTTTAACACAGTGCTGATGGTTGGAACACACGGCACACACCGGGAGGATGGAGCAGATCTTGACTTCAGCCACTCAGCTCCTCCTTTTGGAAACCTGTTGCTTTCACCCCCCTATCCTGGCTGACATCTGATCCTAAAGCAGAAAAAAGAACACTAAAAGTGTTCACCCTAAAAAGCCAAATATCAAAGCAGTTCTTCCACCTCGCACCAAACCCCGGCCATGCCTCATTTCCCTTTTGCAGGGAGATAAGGAAGGGCCAAGAGAGGAACTGTGGATACAAATCAAGCCCATGACTTCTCCAGAATAGAGTCACTGTCTTGGCTAAGAGTTAGGAGCTTAGAAAGAGGTATGGGCAGGGTAAAAGCTGGTCAGCCAAGGAAGGTATTCAGAGGTTTTCAAAAGGGCTTTTGAAAAGCTGGAGGAAAGAGCGGAGAGGGAGGAGGGAGAAAGTTTAATTCGCATCAGGCTCGGCATTTCCACTTCAGAAGAGAGATGACTGATGAAACGTATTGAAGTGCAACCAAATTGCTTTCAACTTTCATTAGGATTTGCATGATTTATTCCACCTCCATTTAATCTGTGCAGCCACACCTAAAATTTTACACTTATTGCAGGAGGATGTTGTGCTGGGGTTGATTTCCCAGCATTATCACACTTTGAGCTGTTGCTCTGAGGCCACAGCGGTGGGGGCAGGTGGGTCCCACACACCACTAGACACGTCCTGGGCAAGCTCTGAGAAGAAATCACAGACCTGCAATTCCCTGTTGTAAACTCAAGGCTGATGAAAACCTGTAACCACTGAACTGCAGAAGGTGTTGCAGGAAGGGAGAAGATCTTTAAGGAAAAGATTTTATCCTTTACAAGACTCTACTACTCGCCTGGGGGATGGGTTTGGGAGTTTTTAATTCGCTTGTTTGGGGTTGATTTTTTTTTCCCCACCAGTAATTTTTATGCACTTACTTGTGTTTACATTCTGGCTTTCTATAAATCATTTACTTTAGCTAAGGGAATTACAATGCAGTTACACACTCTCCTCACCTCACACAGTGCCACCAAAGGGTTCACCTGTCCCCCCAACTGTCCTCTTAGGCAGGGGACAAACATTCAGCCTACAACTGTGCAGAACTACATCTCAGCCTTGGCTGGGCAGAGAGAGTTTGGGAAGGTGATAAAAAGAAAGTCTGAACTTCTCTTAACTACAGGACAGAAGTATTTTCCAGAAAACAAGGAAAAGATACGGCACAGCAAAACCTCACGTGATGCCTAAAATTCATTTGAAAACCTGTCTCTGGTTAACTTGTTCTTAACTTTTCAGTCAGAATGGCTTTCAAAAAGTATTAGTGATGGACTGAGGGGGTGCAGAACAGCAGATCTCCAGATCCCCATCATGACTGAGACCTAAAGACGCTGACGCACTGAGAAATCCAAAGCGCATTAAACGCGGAGCCGCCTGTCCCTCTGTCTGTCTGCCCTCCGACGAGGAAAACTCACCAGGATGAGCAATCCCAGGAGGGAGATAAGCACTGTGCTGCCCTTCACCCTGCCACCGCTGCTTATCTCTGCTCCACGGTTACATTTGCTCAGCAATCTTTATTTTTCATTCTCACAGGTCTTGGCCTCACTGGAACCCAAAATTCCACGTTGCACCCGCTGTTGTTTCCCAGGGCATCGCAGCTCCTGGACCCAGCGTGTGCCAGCCAGCCCTGTCCCCACTCCATCACTGCTGCAAAAGGCTTAACCTGGGACTCTGCCCGTGGAACTTTTCTGCCTCAAATCCCACCCCAGAGCCCAGAGAGCTGCTGGATAACCAGGAGCAGAGACCCAGCAGCCAAGGGAGGTCCCATGTGCCCCGACCAAGACGCCGCTGCCGCGTGCAGGCTCTTCAGGCTGGACCCACACTGAAAGGGATGTCCTGCCAAAATGACACCTCCTCCCGTGAGGACATTACTGGGGACTTCAAAAAGGCTGCTGTGTTGGTGTTAGGGGGAATATATTTGTCAGATGAGGCACCACTCCCTGCGATGTGCCCTCACTCCAGCATGGCTGTGTCTCAGCCCAAGGTCTCCCAACCCCTTGGGCTCAGCAGCAGCAGCAGCAGCAGCACGATTTGAACCTCTTGTGCAGCCACATCCTGCTCCTCCAAGGGCTGCCAGGGCAGAGGAGGGACTGGCCCTGGCACCAGGACTGAGCACTGAGGGGTGAGGGGCTCTGGGTGCAGCTCCCGGTCACACTGTGAGCTGCAGTTCCATTCCCATCTCCCCCACCAGTCGAACACAACGCGTCCTCCCCACGGACACACGTCCTCCCCACGGACACACGTCCTCTGGGCAAACACCACTCCGTGCCGTGTGTACCAAGGCCCCTGCTTCGCTGGAATGATGATCTTGGCAGAGATGGTTTTTATGCAAATAAATCCCCATCAGCAGGAACAAGCAGGCTGCATGGGCTAATCCGGGAGGTTTCCAGCCTGCTGGCTGGGACCCCGAGGAGCGCAGGAATCCCGCAGCAGGCGCTTCACCCCTCCGGCACCGGCACCTACTCCTGGGATCAGCACCAGGCAGCAGCCCCCTGCAAAAGGGTCAGCCCTGTCAGCCCGCAGATGAAACCTGCACGGGGGAAGCGGCTCTGCAGCCGAGTTCAGACGTGGCCCGTGTATGCCTTGAAGAAAAAATAATCAGTGGGGTGTTCTTTGAGCCAGCTGGTGCCCTTTCAACAATGTCTAATTGGTTATCTTTTCTCTTTCCTAAGGTCAGAACATTTTATCTCCGTCTCTGCCCTTTCTGAGCTTACCCCACCCTGCGTTATTTTTTAGGGCAGCCATTGTGGCAGAAGAATAGCCCCTTTCCTCCATAGTCCGGTGACACAATGAGACTTCTTGAAACCTCCTGAATAGATAAAGTGCAGCAGCAAAAGGAAAATTCTATTAACGCTTTGCAAAATAAAACATCTAAGAGCTGGTTAGACAAGCAGGAGAAGAAAATCAATATGGAGAGGGCAGCGTGCTTAGAAAAACTTTTCACCAGTCTCAAAAAGGTGGCGAGGGGATGGGGGGGAGTGGGGGGGGGGGGGAAGAAACTTATTAATGCAGAAAACCCATCAATGGTATGGAAATCTGGCAGAACAGCAAGAACTCCAACTAGAAGAATCTGAATATACAAAGGGCTGAATAGAATGAGCAAACCACGCTGCCTCACACACACAGCCCATTTCTCACGGTTCTCTGTGAAGCAAACACAAGCGGCTTGTTCAAGTTTTCATCAAGGAGAAATAAGGGACACAGTCAAGGTAACCGGCAGTAAACCCTGTAGTAAGCAAATTGATCCCTGTTTCAGGGGAAGGGAAGAAAAACAACCCACAGCCGAAACTCAAGTGCATTCAGGAGCTGAGGCTGTCCAAGTTAACCCCCTCCTCCAACCCGACGCTCCCTCGCTCGCCCGGAATCTTAAAGACGCTCAGCTGCAAAAGTTTTCTGGGTGTCAGCTTAAAACACACAGCTCACTTCTTGCTTACAGAAGGAAAGGAAGGTTTTTCCAGGGACAGAAGCAAGACTGGAAGGCAGAACTGCCGCCTGCAAAGCTTGGCCTTCACCCACCACGTGCTGCCAGCCGGACCCTCAGTCAGCCCGTCCCCAGGGCACAGCAAAACCAGCCCCCAGCAACGCCCTGGATTCCTCAGTACAGGTGAGGGAGGCTGAGCCACCTCCACCCAGCACACTCAGAAACCAGCTGCCAACCCAAAACCTCAATCCCTTTGAGATGTAGTATGGCTTGATCCGGGGGCTTAAAGGAGCTGCTCGATCTGGACTAATTCTGGGCATGAAGCGAGAGTGTGTTACAAAATGAACAGTCTTTTAGCACTTGTGGTAAATTAAATGAAGAAGAAAACAAAGCCTTTCCAGCAGGCACCGGTTACAAATGGACACTTCAGCCCCACAGACTCCCCTGTCCCAGCACAGCCCACATATACAGCCAGTGCAGACCCAGTTTCTTACATAAAGCCCAACTAATGGGCTTCAGTTTATTTAACTTCTCTTTTTTTGCAATCCACTTGGGGCTCTGAGAAAAGGAAGGGCTCTACCACTTCATTACTCACTGCCTGGAAGGAGGAACAGGGGAGAATAGGAGATAGAAAAAAAACCTGGAGGAGCCAAAGGCTTTAATAATCCTAACAGTTCTCAGGCTTATTTAAAATATGCCCAACCAGTTCACAAAAGGCTCCACGGAGATAAATGTATTTGATTTTCTTCCACTTTAATGGAGGCATACATTTAAAGCAACAAAACCAGGGTGACCTAAATAAAATGACTATTAATTGTGCTCAGAAAGGTTCTGAATTTAATGCAAGTGATCTAGCCCAGCACAGGAACACACAGTACTCTCCAGTCATAGGTCCCACTTTCCTCTTTGGGATTTTCAGCTCCTCTGTTCCAGGGGGCAGCAGGAGCTGATCAGACCCAGCACAGTCCATGGCTGCTCACACTGCCACACCATTCCACATCACCACATTGTGCTCTTCCCACCTGAACCAAGGAGGAAAACCTCCCCAGTGAAACCACCATAACTACACCGAGTGGACACACAGCAGTCTTTATGCCTCACACTCCTCACCCAGCCCAGGGAGGTTCTTCCCGATCCAAACCCCGAGTTTCTGACACATCCAGAACAGGCCAAGATGTTCCTGCACTCTACCCGAGTGTCCCCCCAGGATGGAGGGCATTTCCAACGCTCCCAAGCAGATCTGGCACTATGTTCTCTGTCCCTCCAATGTAAAGAAGAATTAGGGCAGAGAAATGGAATGACACGTGCAATGGAACAGAGGGGCAATTCCAGCTGAGCCCAGGGAGGGAAGGAATCACCAAAGGATGACATGAGAGCCCACACAGGTGGGCTGTGCCTCTACTCCCTCGGTCCTCAACTGGTGAACTTTACAGGTCTATCACTTCTTCTGGCCTCCCAAGAAAACTGTGTTGGAT